CCCTGTGAATTTCACTCGCTCAGGAGCCAAAGTCAGAGCCAATATACATGGAATCCTGATAGAAGCAAGGCTTGGCTGTGCATTTCTTTAAAAAATATAACACACCTATGTTCCCTGGTAGAAAACAATTTTGGGAACCAAACCCAAATAGAGCTCTTGAAGGTAACCACTAATGTCTTCACTTCTGGGCATTTATAAATGCACCAGTCTGTGACTCGATGGTGGTACTATTTTGGACTAGTCAGACGTACTATGCCAATATATTTGTATGGTCCCTGCACTGGGTTTTATGACATCATGACAGTTTTTTTTTTATTGTTTAAATTTGAAAGCCCTCTGGGTGTTTTGCATAATTCTGCCTCGCCGACCAAGGCTGAGATAGAAAGCACACATCAACAGCACACCGAAATCAGATCTATGAATTTGCATCAGAGTTGGACAGCTTTAAGAAACTCCCAAAACATTTCCACAGAGGCTCTGATCGGAATGCAGTTTCTTACTCAAATCAAAATCATCTACGGAGCACCTCTTCACTTATTCCGCACAAGTCATTTTCTCTGCCTTCTTTCTTTTTTTTTGTTAAAAAACAATTTTTCTCTGTAATTAGGATTTGGGATTGCAAAATCGCATTCCTCCCTTCTGCGTAGATTCAGCTTGGATCTTTAGCGACCATTAGAAAGGGGTGTTAATTCAAGAAAGGAGGAAGAGGGAGAGGTGGCGGCAGCCAGAGGTTTGGGGAAAAGAGGGGGAGGAGAGGAAATGGTTCTCAGTGTTCACCCCCCCTCCTCAGGCTGCCCCTACCTCCAGCCCACGCACCCGGGATTTCACTTCTGACTTTCTCTAGTCTAAATATTCTGATTCTCAATATTGCCTGTTTCCAAGCTAAGATTCCCAAAACCAGTTTTTCCTTGTGATTGGTTCTTTTAGTGATGGAACAGAAGAGGCCAGGAAACCTCACAGAACTAGGCAGGGAAGAGGGAAAACCTCTATCCTCAGATGCTCCCCACAATGATGGTTGTAAAGGAAGCCCTGGCGCCTGAAAAGACGTGACAAGGGTACAGATTCTTCTCTTGCAACCAATATTTGCCCTGGTTGGGTGTGACCACATCCCCGTTTGGAGGCCTGTAGAAGTGGGTTTCTGACCTCCTTTGGGGGACTCACCAGAAAAGAAACAGGCCTGAGGCCTCCAGGACCGTAGGCTGCCTCAAACTAGGCCCAGGGAGAGGAGGAGAGGAAGGGGCCCAGTGTGCAGGGGTCGGGGAGAGTATTGCTGACAGAGGCCAACCTTGGCTTATGACCCCCAATAGCCAGGGCTCGGCTCAGGTCATTCTCAGGGTCCCCTCCCCTGGCCAGGAAGGATCTGTTTACAGGGTGACTGATAAGCTGCTGACAGGCCCTGAGCTTCCCACAGATGGCTAAAAACAGTGAGGTCCCTAGCTCTGGGGTTTGGGCCCTGTTCTATCCCAGGGTTCTCCCCATGATATTCAACACCATCCAGGCCTGGTCACTCAAGGCCATAAGAGGGCTTAAGGGGCACTGCCCTTGGGCTAGGAAGAAGTCACCAAAGTTGAGGCCTTGCACCACGTAAGTCCTTCCTGCCACAATTTAAATGCAGACAAAGGCAGGGGTAGGCAGATGTCTGGGGAGCTGCTGAGAGAAGAGCTGAGGTTGGGTTCCAGAATGTGTAACTCGGGTCCTAAAAGGCTGGGGTGAAAGGGAAGTCACAAGGATGCTGAGATTAAGCGCCCTGCCAGTGTCTATGCACACCCCCATGCCACAGCGTCCTCCCCGCCCCAGGTCCTTTGTACACCTGCTTCACCGGGCCCAGTCGCCCTAAACATTGCTGCCCAGAGCTCCGTGGCCTGAGCTGAGCAGGGGCTTGTGCACTGGCCTCCCTCTGGAGTCCTCTGATGGGTGCGCAGCAGGTGCGCACTGACTGGAGCCAGGATGACAGGCCAGGGCAGGCAACTGCCTGAGGTCACCAGGAAGTCCCTCAGGGCCGGCCTCAGCTCCAGGCCCAAGGCGGAGCCCAGGGAGGCGGGTGCGCACTGGTGGCTGCGGGCAGCTAGCGCCCCGCCAAGACGCCCAAGGCGCAGCCAGGCGCAGGGAGGCAGGAACGGGGCCCCACCCAGCCCCGTCAGGGCCCGCAGCGCTCCCAGGGGGCTCGGATCTCCAGTGGAATTTGGCTGACAGTTTCCCGGAGGACTTGCCCTGGCCTCAGCCGGGTGGCGGGACTTGCAGAACTACCCGCCTTTCCGCACTCCTAGGTGGGCGCATGGAGGGAGGGAGTGGAGTCCGCGCTGAAGGCTCTGCCCTTCACCTGGAGACCCTGGCCCCACCCGCGAGCTCCTGGGAACCTTCTGTAAATAAGATCATTGGTTCCAGATCATTTGATTTTTTACTCATTAATTTTCTGGCCCATTTTCCAGATCTGACCCCCTCTTTTTCTCCCCTTTGGTTAGAGGCAGAAGCAGGAGGGAAAAGAGAAAGAGGGAAATCTAGAGAGCAAGTTTAAAAATCCTCCTGGAAATGGCGGTATGGTCTGGGTTACCCGTGGTGTATATACAAAGCCAGCCACGCAAACTTTATTAGGATTCTTCCATCAGGGCCAGGAATAGGCTCCAGACATTTCCCAGGCATGCAGAAGCTGTGTCCGGAGGACAAACTTTGAAACTCCTAATTTCAAGAAGGATCTTTTTTACATAGGCCTTCTTTCTCATAGGGAGCTTGAATCAGGGGTGGAACTAAGAAAGTCTCATGGCGTCTTCATATATGCATCTCCTTTTTCCTCTCTCTTTCCCTTTTTCTCAGAGAAGGATTTATTAATGAGCAGATAAATATTTTGAAACTAAAACAGTGATGTATGAATCGGAAACACTTTTACAGGGTCAGATTTTTTTTTTTTAAATCCTTTTTGATAGCACAGGAGAAAAAAAAATCTGGGATAATCATTTTGAGATAGAATTTATTAAAAGAGGATATTTGTTTCCTTCCATTTTCAGGCAATGAAGGCAACTGTCTTCTTTCATCTGCCATTTATTTATTTATTTATTTAATCTATGAACCCCTTTAAAGTGCCTTTGCAGCCAGGGAAAGCTATTAACAGACAAACTTGCAGTTTCTACTTTTGAAGCTAACTAAAGTGATCACAGGGCAGAGTTAATGGGTCTCCTCTGTTCCTTGGTAGACAGAAGAACTTGGTCTGAATTCTGTCTTACTCAGAACAACCTTCTCATGTGGGTCAGCTCCCTCCACCAGACTTTCCATAACTTGGAGGGTGTGGAGACCCAGGAGACGTTCTTCAGGGTATGCTGTCTGTGTTAATTCACGACACTTCTGAAACCTCCCTTGCATTATCAGTGCACACTCTTCAGCTATTTAAAAAATATTCTTCCGTGGTTAGTGTAGGAGGCTCAGTGCTGTCAGACATCTGGCTTAGATTACACCATCGTGGTCCAGCTTGAAAAATCTCCTCTCACTCCCAGGCGAGACCCCCTTGCCCTCACCACCCTTCCCCAGTGACCGATCTGGGCAAAGGTACTGAGAACAGAGAAACCACATGGCTTTTGGACTCTGTTCAGGTGTGCAAACAGAACTCCCCCCTCCAACCCCCATTCTGGCTTTTGAAAGTAAATGCCTTGATAACTGGATGGGTTCCCCAGGTAGCTGAAGAGTAGAGGTCATCTTGAGGAAAGTGACACCAATGATCTAAAAAGGACATCTACTTTATGAGATTTCAGGCAAGAAGCCAAATATTGCATTTAATGAGGCTGATTCTTTTTCTCCAAAAATAACAGAGACTATCAATGATATGGTCAGGAAGGAGAAGGGGGCATTTTGCAAGACTCTGTTCAATTATTGCTTTGTAATATTTTTCTAAAATTGAAAAATGCCTCACAAGTATATGATCTCATGTAAATATTCCTTGCCGGAGCTTAACAGATGTTTGCAATGCCCCAGAGGAATGACAGCAATGTTCTCTCCAAAATTTCTTAAGCTTTTAAACTCTATTCACTTGTATTTCTGAAAGAATCTGTTGTTTCTGGAGATCTTTAAGAAAGCATCTTAATTGGAAAGTTTATATAGTCATTGTTTTAGAGGTTAAGTATTTGAACTTCAAATGGAGACCAATTTACTTTACCGATACACTTTTGAGTTTTGTAATTTCCGTATGTGTCTTGTTTCTTTTCGAACCCCCTTTTCAAAGAAATAATATGTTTGACGAAAGATTAATACATGAAAAAGAAGTTTGTACCTTAAAGCTCTAAAAGCATTTGTACCATGAAATAGGAATGCAGGCACATAATGTGTTGGGGACAGTTCTGGCAGATAGCTAGGGTCAGTTTTGTTACCCAAGCATTTTAGGGCATTGTCTTGCTGTTTAGGGAAAGAGCATTTGAAAGAATCAGGCAGTTTCAGTGAGTGACAAATTTTGGTGAAGAAAGACAATGTGTTCAGTTACAACTGCCTGCAGACAGCATGTGGATGGATGTAGTCTATCTGTTCATACCAATTGTAAGGTACTCCAAATAAAATACAGGGGATTAAAGAAAAATAACTGACTATCCTTGTTGGAAAAAAATTAGATTGACTTACTAGTTTATTGTAGCTGTTATACACAGATTTGCTGTAACTGTGTTGAATTTTTAAATTAGATTTTAAATATATTTTGACAGTCTGAATTTGTATAGTGGGACTAACTATAGGAAGCAATGACAGGTCTGCTTTGTTATTAAACTGCTGTCTGGAAAATATTGGGCTCTGTACAGTAAATGATCATTATTTTGCCACTTACATTAGTACAGCTAATGGCAATAAGGGTTTTTTGAACCATAGAAAGCTAACTACTTTGAATTACTGTGTTTTGTTATTCATTGTGAAGCAAAACGTCTTTTTTTTTTTTTTTAAGCAACCTCATTTTGGTATCAGTGTTCTAAGTACTCCCTGCTAGGAATTTAAACAGAGAAGTGGTTAATAAATAAAGGGGTAGTATCTAAATGGTTCTATTTGTTAAGAGAACGTTTGCAGTTAAGGTCGGCAGTGTTAGCAGGACAGATCAGAGCAACAGAGGAGTGGGTAGAAAATGGAAGAGAATGTGGCCTAGTTCACTGCCTGCCAAAGCTGGACCGGGGGGTCCTCTAAAGGATGGGCCATCAGCAATCGCTTGTGAATGAGAAGCCCATCAGACATGATTGAATCCTTCCCACATGGAACCCAGAATCTCTTGGGTCCCTTTGAACTGCAAACAGCTTCAGGACTGACCCAGACTGCAAGGCCCTGGGTTCAGGCTCCCAGTGGGGGAGCCAGAGTTCAGAGGCAGCCACCAGCAGTCTAGGCCACCCCCTTCCATGCCAACCCCTCCTCTGATCTGACTAGGCTGAGGCCACCAGGCAGAAGCAAGTGGAACTAAATCAATCTTCTTTGGGTCCAACTCTGCCCTTTTCATAGTTATGCTGCCATTAACGTACTGTCCTTGAAACATTCTTCATGGTTATTAATTACCCTTTGTTTATTTTAATATATTTGCTAAATCAGGTACCCAAGGGAGTCCTCTACATCAGTGATGTGAAAAGTCCAGTTGCCTGAAGTCAAAGAGGTACATCTTGATTTTTGATTTGCATGCGCTTGTTTTAGTGAGTTTGCCGTGAGAGGAGAAGTTAGCCAGCAAGCAGGGAATGCTGCTCATTCTTTGGGTGTGAAAAGTTCCCGTTTGGAATAGTTTTAGTATTTAGGTTTCACATGCACCCTACAACGTGGTACTAGATGCTGCAGAGGAGTCATAGAAGCAATGTGTGTGAGAACCAGCATGCATCCATTGTCTGTATTTATTTCATGACATCGATGTCACTTACAGAGTAATTCAGTCTGAGTAGATCTCAGATCTTTGGCTTGATCCCACATAGTGTGTTGACACTGCAAAAGGTGAATGTCAGGCCATTTGGATGAATCCATGCAACTGGCATTCACTGCCCTTGGGTAGTTCTACCTGGGCCTAACAAATATTCCAAATTTAGAGTTGCTTATAATTTGGTCCAGACTCACATTTGGAAAGTTTAATATAATTTCAAAGCACAGTGTGGCCTTCCTTCTGCATCCAAATGTGTCTCTGGAACAACTCCCCACTTCAATTGGAGACAGAAGGGGAGGGGAGGAGACAAGTGGGAAACAGAAATCTGATTTTCATCTACTAAAAAAAAAAAATGAAATTGAGCTATTTAAATGGGTTTTCAATTACAAGTATCCCAGCATGAATTTAATTATAAACCCTCTTCATTTGGAGAGGTAGACTAACACCGTCACACCAATAATTATTTAGTGTCGTAGTTCTATGTATTCTTGTTACCTCTCATTGGCTAATGGCACAGAGTTTTTTTTTTATTATTGAAATTTTTGCTTGCTGAGAAATTTGCATGAAATACATTTTTTTTTTCTTTTTGGTTCCTAGTGGAAACTGAGGGGGGCAAAAGTCACACTGTCAGATTGCTACTCTTTGCAAAAGAGGCACTTTAAAGATCTGGCAAATGGAGAGCTTTGGAAAAACAGAACTCATTTCTTCTCTCTATTCAAAAATAGTATCTGATTACTTACTACTACATGCTGCTACGATGAGAGTCTCGATGAATAACTGGATTGTGAATATGAAATATTGTTTCATTGCTAACCTTATATGAAATTAACATTTTCTTTAATATTTCCCATACATGGATTTTAATTCCATGTATACCTTTGAGGTTTACTGATGTGTCTGGTGTGAGCGCATGCAGTTCCAATACTTTATTCCTCTCTTGTCCTCATCTTTCTAATTGCAATTTGAAAATGGCCGGTTCAATACGATGATCTAGGACCACAAAGCCACTGTGCAGTCTTTGTGACGTTGAAACCATCCGTTTTGAACAAAGAGTTAATGAACTTTAAAAGCAAGGTTCACACTGGTCCTGACCCTCCTGGTAATATTTCATATAAGGTTACTGGTGGGAGAGAAATCAAATTTCAGCTGTGAACATGATTGACAGGTGAGAGCAAGGAAGAGAAAAGAAGAGAAAGGCATTTGGTCAGATGGGGAATTTGGGGATGAGGAAGACAATTCCTTGAAGTTCCTCTGTGATATTAGATATTATAAGCTGATATATGAAAAGTTCAATACTTGGTCCTCTTGGGGGAGTTACTTAGTTTATTTTCAGAAAGTCACTTTGGTTAAGGGATTTCAGGAGTGAAAAACCAAAAAAATGGTGAACTACGAGGTTTTCTTCCCTTTGGCTAATTTCTACCATGTTCAGGTTTGTGACTTATTTCCAGCAGTTTTCTAGGCTAAGGTCTGAAAATTAAATCACAGGCCATTAGGGGAGCCGTTTAATTACCTTTCATTTATTCTCAGAAACACGGTCCAGATTATATAATGGTTCGTGGACATATTACAAAATATTCATCCCAAGTGGTATCGCAAAAAGAGATGAAATTTTCCTTTTTGGTAGTATCCCTTGATCCTGAGTAACATTTTTCCATGAGCGCCTGGTGCAGCCTAACCTATGCAAATCGACCCCGATGCATGGTGTATCAAGACTGCGCTTTCTGGAGGAGGTTTTCTAACCCGAGATGCACACTCCACCCTTCTTGTCCACCTTTCACCCAGTATGGCCACTTGATGGAAAGTGTTTATAGGTAGCATCGCTGCTAACTGAGGTGCAATTGCTGCCATGGAAACATGTAAGGACACTGCGTGACCCTCACATTCGGGGTGGTTCTTGGATGAGCCTCGGACTCTGTCTGCAAGTTTGAATCTTCAGAAGGAGATGCCCAGCAGCCCATGACTTGCCCCGAGCTGGAAAGCAGGTCTTCCAGACGTGCTCTTGTGTGCTAGGTGCTGAAACCCCAGTTGGGAAGGGGGTGACAGATCTCAGCCAGCTCTGGTCTGTGTTCTGCCCATTTCAGATGTTCCTGACGCTGGCTCAGACCCCTCTGGATGCAGCCGAGCCTTACAGAGCTCCCTTGAGGAAGGCAGGTGTGATACAAACAGGGGGAGGCCTGCTTGTGGCTTTGCATTCACTCATGGGGAACACAGATGGGACCCATAGAAACAGCACGTCCTGGGTTCCAAGGTACCCATCAATTGTTTCTCTAGTCTTACGGCTTGGACCCTGACCGTACTTATGTCCATGGTAGGAATTCAAAAGGCTGTCAAATGTGAGGCAGGCATTGCGGTCTTGTGCGTGAGGATAAACTAAGCCACGACAGAACAAAACCAGCCCAAGTGCTCAGAAATCTCGTTTCTATTTTGCTTACTCTTCTTTCCGCGTTGCCCATAATCTTTCAGAAATAAAATGCAAAATCCTGATGCCCAGTGTTGACGGGGTGTCTCGGCACACCATGTGTGACTATTTCGTTCAAATGTAAAAGTAAAGGGACCTTCAGCTGGTGTCCCTCGCAGGGTCCATCAGACTATTTTAATGGAAATGTGAACCTCGTGGGTCCCTGCGAGGGACATGTGAAAACCCAGGTCAGAAGTTTTGAGGTCTTGATGCCTCTGAAAGGCCCTTGTGGCTGGTCTTGGCCCTGTTCTCACTGAAGCCTTCTCAGGGCTTCTACACACTCAGTTCTCGGAATCAAACTCACTCACCCACAACCCGAGCAGGAGCATGCTATCTTGCTGAGAGATCTGCTTTGGGACCAACCTATCACAAACTCCATGATGTAACTCAAGCATGTTGCAGGAGGGTGTCTGTCTAACAAAATCGGGGGAGCGCTTCTGTTTAAGGTGTTTCGCTGTTCAGACTTCCCCTGACTGCTTTTGTTGTTGTTCTTAGTTTATTTCTCTTGCGCCTTTCTGTATCAGCCACCACACTCCCTTTACATAGTCTGGCTAATGTTTTCCATTCTCTAGACACTGGCCCACGACTGAGCTGATTCAATCAATTAATTATAACAGAAGAACTGGTCTAATGATGCCACACCAATGGGTATTATTTTTCAGTCAACTCTGGTATACTGTTAGCGGGGTGGACTTAAAGAAATGTGATGGATTTGGGGGGAAGAAAGGAAGAAGGAATTTCTACACGAGTGCGGGACTCATTACTTAAAACAATGATGCTTCTGTAAAAAGCTTTCGTTCTAAAAGCATGCCGCCGTGCACTCCGTCACCTGCCAAAAGCTCAGATTTACTGCTGCTGTGCGCAGACGCCAGTGTTGAAACTCCCTTCACCTGCAGCTTGCTGAATCTCTCATTTCCTCACTCCAAAAAATTGCTGTCAAGTTGTTGTTTTGTGTCTGCATTTTTTTTTTTTTTTGCTTTTCCTGGCACCTAATGAAATTATCAGCAATAAATGAGCTAAGCACCAGGGTTGAGGGTTTTGTTTGTTTGTTTGTTTTTGCTTTCCATTTTGTAATATTTGGAAAATGCCAGGACGAAGGAAACCCAGGGGGGAAATTTCAGTGTGCCTCTGCAGCATCTACAGGAAATGTAATAAAGCTATTAGCACTTAGATCCTCGCAGATGGGAACTAGCCTGCCCCGGTGGGGGAGGGGAGGGCCCAGTTTCAGGTGCTCCATGGGAAAAATCCAACCGGCTGTGGGATTTACAGTTCTCCTCCATGGGGACAAGGTGGCCACTGAGCAGTCACCCCAGGTGTAAGCTGCTGGAAGACATTCTCACCTGATTAGGAATCCAGGGCGCATCCTATGGCACACTCATAGGTGAGGTGAGGCGGACAAATCCAAAAACAGAGGCAGAGGGAGCTGTTGGTAGGAATTGCCAGTTTCTTCTATTAATGTGGTCATTCCCATGCAGCCAGTGACGATTTCGAGTCATTTCAGTCTATTGAAAGAAGCAGGGGAAGTTCATTTGCTCCCAGGTAGGCAGCGAAGGTGAGAATTGAATTGATCTGAAATGCTCTGAGAAATTGACCCTGAGGTCCTCTTCCTTCATATTGGGCGCTGGGCTGGAAGTTTCTGTTCTTCTTCTACCTGCGTCCAGCAGCAGGGCCGAGTTGGGGTTTGTGATTATTTAAAAGGATCGTAACTCGGGGCTGACTCGGCCTCTGTAAAGTTAATCAACACAGAGTCCCCGTGTTACCCATGGTCGTTGATTCAAGGGCTGGAGTCTACACAGCACAGTGGTGTGCCTCAGGCTTGCTTATGCTTCAAATGAGGTTCGTTTCTGATGTGCAGGAAATGGGGGAGAAACCTAATGTCAGGGGTCTTGCTGGGCTGAATGTTTTGCATAGGAAAGAATTTTCTGTTTGTTTTCCCTACATCTTCTTTACTCTCTCTCTCTTTTCATGGAGCAATTAGGATTCTTTCACATCATTTTAAGATGCTCAATGTACCTGGAGCAGTCTGCACCATGAGCTGCCTCTGGGAAGGCGCTTAAGTTCACTGACAGGGATGCTGGGCACAGCTGGCCTCTCAGCAGCGACGGAGCCAACGGAGGTTAGAAATCTCCTTCCCCGCGTAGACCTTTGTGACCCAGCCTAAGACTTGCTTTATCAGTCTTTGCGTCTGTGCCCCGCATGCACTTGAAGTTCTGTGCTAACAGTTGAAGGCTCTTTGTTGAATTGTTATTATATTTTTTCCCCAGACTTTTCGTATCTTCTTTTTCTTTTT